TAAAGGTAACTTTAGGTGCAAAACCATGGTTTTAAAACATCTGGCCACATTTGGAAATCTGATGTTTCGGGGCACCTGGGTGGTACAGTGGGTTGAGCGACTCTTGGTTCTGGCTCAGGTTGTGATCTCAGGGTCCTGGAATCGAGCCCTGCGGCAATATCTGTGCTTAGTGGGGAGTCTGCTTGAATTTCTCTCCCTCTGCTCCTCCTCCCAACCCCCCTCGCTCGCTCTCAAATAAATCCTTAAAAAAAGTCTGATGTTTCAATGCTTTGTAATTACAAGAAGAATCTTAAGGATTATTTAAATTATATATTCATTTATTGCTGCTATTCTTCAAATTCATTGTTAACTGTATGTGTTAATTGCAATTTCCCATCCTCTGCCATGATCAGTAACAGTTTAATGTGCTGCTTTACACTGGGAAAAAAACAAAAGTTATGAAATTTCACAGGGGTGAATATGTAAACAGGATTAAACCAATTTAAGAATAATACACGTGCTATCAATCTTTGAAAACTCAAGACATGAAAAGGACTACTTATATTTAGATAGGGATATTTCTTGGAGAAGATTTCTTCTTAGTCCCAAGAAATAAAGTAAGCTAATCTATTTTGTTATTTTAACTGGAAATAGAGTTGCTCTCTGAACATATGGGACCAAGTTCTTAATTACACTGAATAAATAAGGCTATATTTCACACTTCACACAGTTGAATAGTAGAGGCCAAATGACTTTTTGATAGTGTTAAAAATTCTAATTTAAAAAAAATTTTATGTTTTAAAGTTTATGTGAAACCTAATAAATTTAAAGAAACGTAAATTTAAACGGTAACTGCCTTTCAATATATAGGGGAAATTTTCCAATAAAGTTTTATTTTTTATTTTATTTTTTATTTTTTAAAGATTTTATTTATTTATTCATGAGAGAGAGAGAGAGAGAGAGAGGCAGAGGGAGAAGCAGGCTCCCAAGGAGCAGGGAGCCCGATGTGAGACTCGATCCCAGGACCCTGGGATCATGACCTGAGCTGAAGGCAGACGCTTAACCATCTGAGCCACCCAGGCACCCTCCAATAAAGTTTTAAAACTAACTTCCAAAATTACCTTTTCTACTTGGATATACTGTATTTTTTTTTTTTTTTAAAAGATTTTATTTATTTGACAGAGACACAGCGAGAGAGGGAACACAAGCAGGGGGAGTAGAAGAGGGAGAAGCAGGCTTCCCGCAGAGCAGGGAACCCAACGCGGGGCTTGATCCCAGGACCCTGGGATCACGACCTGAGCCGAAGGCAGACGCTTAACGACTGAGCCACCCAGGCGCCCCGGATATACTGTATTTTTTATTTTATTTATTTATTTGACAGCACAAGCAGGGGGAGTGGCAGGCAGAGGGAAAGGGGGAAGCAGGCTCCCTGCTGAGCAAGGAGCTTGATGCGTGGCTTGATCCCAGGACCCTGGGATCATGACCTGAGCCGAAGACAGACGCTTAACCGACTGAGCCACCCAGGCGCCCCTGTATTCTTTCTTTTCTTCTTTTTCTTTTTAAAGAACATTTTAAGTAATCTCTATGCCCAAAGTGGGGCTCAAACTTAACAAATCCAAGATTGTGAGTTGCAGGCTCTATTGTCTGAGCCAGCCAGGCACCCCAAGTTTATTTTCTTAGAGCTAGTCTCAGATTACCAAAATTTTAAGGCTGCTTTTTAGGGAAGATAAAAATTGATTTTTAATTCTTTGGTAGCAACCTTCCTAGAATTGGAATTGAAGTAACAATATTAGTGATTTTCACAATTTTGAACCAAGCCTAGTTGCATGGTGGTTTATAGGTACCATATGAAAATGCTTTTGTTTTTATATTTTAGTGAATAGCCTACCTAGAGGTAAGGGGAAGGATGGCAAAGCCTTTCCAAAATACTTTCAGAAGTTACTGAAGTCAATTGAAAGCTATATTTAAACACCTGAATACAGTTAGCATTTTTCTTTTTATGAAAGGAAACCAGTGTCTCTGTAGTTAATACGAGACATAAGGTGGAATGTTTTACTTATTTAAATGGTAAGTTTAAAAGTAGACAAGAGAAACATTGGCCGTCTTATCCAATATAATGCTGGTGTTAGAATTAAAGTGCCTTTTCCAGTCTTTAATATCTATCAAACAGGCAGGTGAGTGTATTTTCAGTTTGTAATCAGTTATGAAATAATTGACATTTTCTGAAGTTATGACCAACTACCTAGTTCCATGAAAGTGAGGTTTGAGAGGATGGTTATTCCATCGTGTCTTATAAATAAGATGACAAACATTAAATGCTTTACTTTTTTGGTGCTAAGGTGTAATGAGACTTCCCAGAATTCTGTGGTCAAAACAGCTCTTTTACCCAGGTAGGATCTATTTGAGCCACTGATTCTATAAAGTTGTAGTCCTTCATATCTTCCCATTGGAGGTTTTACATCATGGCCACGCAAAAAAAGGAGGGGGCGGTAAATATGAAAGTAATACCTGCCTTTAAAAAAAAAAAAATTATCAGAGAGCAAGCGCACAAGCAGGCTCCCTGCTGAGCAAAGAGCCTGACGCGGGACTCGTTCCCAGGACCCTAGGATCATGACCTGAATCAGAGGCAGATGCTCAACTAACTGAGCCACTCAGGCCTTCCTGCATTTTTAATTTCTCAAACTCCTACCTGTAAAAATCCCTTAATGCTCTTCCTTGAATTACTCTCTACTGTAGTTCCTTTTTTGAAAATCAAGGAAAGGAACTTTTCTTAAGGCAGTTTAGCTGCTCCTTTAACAGATGTTATATCCAGAGGTTGATACATAGGGGTAAGTTGTGGGGGGAAGAGGGCATTATGAAATGTAAAGTTAACACTGGGGCGCTTGGGTGGCGGGTGGTTAATCGTCTGACTCTTGGTTTTGGCTCAGGTCATAATCTCAGCGTCATGAGATCGAGCCCCATGTCGGGATCCATGCTCAGTGCAGAGTCTGCTCGAGATTCTCCTCCCTCTGTCCCTCCCACTCATGCTCAGTCTCTAAAATAAATCTTAAAAAAGACTAAAAATAACATTACAAATGCCACAAAAAGGTAATATGAACCTTGATGCTTTGGGACACAGTGGGGGGAAAGCAGGTTTGGGTATGCCAATCCTGTTCCAGGAGAGCATGTTCCAAATTATAGGAGGCATCTGAGAGGGAGAGACTGAAATGAGTCCTAAGGGTAATGTGTATGTATTCATCTATCCTTTTCCTGATCCACTATGCCATGCAGATCATGGCCCTCAACAGTTAAAATTTGGTGTATATTCTGGGTCATCAGAGTTAAGTAGGCCTAATTACTGGGATTCAGTTATTCAACACCATCTTTTCAAGCTCCTGTACCAATATAAGCAATTTGTGCAGTTTGCTGGTGGGGTTGGGAGAATCAGTTTTAATTAGAAGCATTTTAAATACTTAACATTCCCTATTGCGTGACGTGAAAATTAAGTGAAAGCAGAGATAAATCCTAGTCTTTGCTTAAATTACTGTCCCCACTAAAGAAAATTTTTCTTTCCCATCTTTTGTCATTAAAAAAAAACTATTACTATTACAGCCTTTATATATAAACATGACCTGTATTATACATTTTCATGTGTCACATGTCTCCACTAGATTGTAAGCCTTTGGAGGTCAGAAAAATGCATCTAAATCATTGTATCTGCCACCACATCTAGTACAGTGCCTTATATTTGCTAAATCAATAAATATTCATTAAAATAATGGAGCTTTTATTGGATGGTAGTATAATGTTTGAGCCCTTTAGATGAATGCATTATCAACTATTTTTTACTTTTTATAGTTTGAAAATGTATCCCTGGCATACACAGTAATTGTGGCATTTATCTAAAATTTACACATTTAATTGTACTGGCTCTCCGCAGCTAACAGCTACTCCACAGTCTGGAGTAGCACTGTCCAGTAGAAATATAATGTAAACCACTTATGTAATTTAAAAATTATATTAATAGTAAAGTTACATTAATGTAGCCATATTATAGAAATAAGAAATGAGATTATTATTTTTTAGCTCATTATTTCGAAAAATCACCAACATTTTTAATTGTTTTAAAAATTGAGACCATTTATATTCTTTTCGTGTGAAATCCGGTGTGTATTTTACATTTACAGCTCATGTCTATTCAAACTAGCCACATTCTAAATGCTCAGTAGCCAGATAATGGTCAGTGGCTACTGTATTGGACACTGCAGGTCTAGAACTTTAAGGGCAGGCAGTGAACCTCTTTGGACCTATCTCTTATTTTAGGTATCAGCTGTGATTTCAGGTTATTGTCACTTTAGGTTATTATCCAAATAAAGGTAATTGGTTTGTCTGCTTTTATCACATTCATAGATTCATACAATAAGAAAAATTTTGTATTAAGCGTTGTATGAAGACATTTAATAGGCACTTTCCACCCAACTTAATCTCTAAAACTACTGAAGAGAGATCTCGGTTTTAGAGTTGAGGATGCAGGGGTTGAAGTAGATCAAGTTAACTTTGCTCAATGAAATACAGAAGGTGGAGCTGGTTTCAGAATCAGGATTGATTGTGGATATCCCTTATCCCTGTCATTTTGGGTTATTATCCAAATAAAGGTAGTTGGTTTGGCTGCTTTTATCACATTCATAGATTCATACAATAATTTAAGAAAAATTTTGTATTAAGCATTGTATAAAGACATTTTTTAATTTTTTAATTTTTTTTTAATTTTTTAAAAGATTTTATTTATTCATTTGAGACACAGAGATACAGAGATAGAGCATGAGCAGTGAGAGAGGCAGAGGGAGAGGGAGAAGCAGACTCCCGGCTGAGCCAGGAGCCCGATGTGGGGCTCGATCCCAGGACCCCGGGATCATGACCTGAGCTGAAGGCAGACGCTTAACAATCTGAGCCACCCAGGCGCCCCGTATAAAGACATTTAGTAGGCACTTTGCATTTAATAGGCACTATCCCTGCTTGAAGTTCAAAACTTAATACAAATTTTTTAAGAAAAAACTTCAAGCTCTGTGTATGTGTTAAAGTAGATACTAGACCATAAGGTTAATGAGAAAACATCTAGTAAAGTAAAAAGTTATTTTATTTGACGAGGTCTGTATCAACAGTAAATTTTTTTTCTTGCTTTAGGTGTGGATTTTAAATAGCTTTTCATAGCAGAAATTTATTTTTGCTTTTCCCATTTCTAAGCATAATATGAAAATTTAAATTATCCTAATTGCCTCTACTGAGAAACTCATATGGGAAAAAGTCTAAGTTGGATGTCTAAAAATGTCTAATTTGAACTGGAAACATTTTATCTTTGAAATGTACTGGTTCTCAGTGCAAAGTTGAACAGTAATTTCAGAACAAGCCTTTAAGGAAATAAAGTATTAAAACAAAAAGGACTGGCAGTATAACTTCACAGAAAAGTTTAATAAAGTAACTTGCCCTTGTATTACTCAAGTACATAGTAGGCCCTTGATACATGTAGATTAGTTCAACATACACCTTTTATACTTTAGTGTACCCTAAAATGTTCATATAAACAAGGGGTTCTAGATTAAAGATAATTTTTAAAAGGCTGCAAAAGTGAAATCAGTATACTAAATATTTGTGTACCTTAAAACATTAAAAAAAAGCACTAAGTTTTCCAGTGATGTTACACAGTATTTTAAATGGTTTAATAAGAAATGGTACAGCGTATTTGTGATGTTAGTTTAGACAATACCTAATGATGAGGACCAGTGAAATGTTATATACCACTGTGGAAAACCATTCTAGGAAGAAATTTGACAGTATCTTGTTCTTACCCTTTGATCAAGCAACTGTATTGATGTTGATCCTAAAAAAAATAATTAGAAATGTGTATAAATTTACAATAGAAAATGGTAATCATTATGTCAATGAAATTAAATGGCATTAATAGTTTAAAGACAGTACATTCTGAAGGAAAATAATGCATCATTGAAGATGATCTGTGTATTCATAATAACATGGGAAAATATTCATGAAAGCGTACATGCATCATTTTTTAAAAAAAACTAATTTCTGAACGTATCTGTTCTGCACTTTGGAGGGTAAGATCTTAAGGAAATAAAAATGACGCGCCGGCTCTGGGGTTAGAACTACTTCAAATCCCGGTTTTGCTAGCTGTAGGATTCTGAGCAAGTTCCTTTACGTCTCAGTAATCTAGCTGTGAATTGGGAAAATGAGTACCTCCATCATGAGGTGTGGAGGTTAAATTAAAGTGTTTAGCGCGCCGCCTAAATAAATGTTAACTTGTTACGATGTCTTCCTGCATTTCTCAGAGTAGCGGAAAATAGGAAATTAAAATTCAGAAATAGGATGACTTAAGCGAAAGCTCCACGAGGCAAAAGGGATTTAACCTAACTTGCCAATTTGCCTTGTCCAAACGCTTGGGATTTTGATTAGGCCCGCGAGGCCGTGGTGACTTGAGCTCTACCTTGCCCCTGAGCGCGCAGAATATGCTCTCGCAGGGGTGGCGGCCCGGTGGGTTTGACTCCCGTATTCCAGGGATGTTTCACTCACCCCCCGCCCCGCCCCCGCCAAGCCAATTAAGGACTCAGAATCGTCCCCTGTTCTCTCCCTTGGGCGTCGCGTAAAGCTCGACCTGTGCCCATCCGGAGCAGAGCCTACGTTCAGGAGGCGTGGAGAGTGGCGGGGGCTGCGACCACGCACTCCATCCCTCCGCCGGCTCGCGTCACAAAGACTACAGTCCCCAGCGGGCCTCGCGAGCTCAGGATGTCCCGCAGGCAGGGCCCGGCGGCTGCGCGGGGCTGTAGTTTCTCCCGTGCTCCGGCACAACCTTCCTTTTCTCCTCCGCGATACAGGCGGTTACTGGCTGCTGCAGCTTCCCCCCGATTTCCGAAAAAGGCTCCTCGCCAGTGGAGTCCGGCCCCTCGTAGGAGACGGCGCGCGACCCTGGCCAAGAGGGCGGAGCGGGGCGACGCGCTGGGCCTCGCGCGGGGTGACGACCTCGAGCACGTCGTGCGGCAGTCCCCTCGGCCGGCAGCCGGAGGGGAGGGGGCGGGGGCTGCGCACGCGCGGCGGGGCCTTGGGCGGGGCCTTGGGCGGCTGCAGCCTGCGGACAGTCCGCCGGTCCGCGGCTGTGTGGGTAGCTGCGCGGCCGGCGGGGCTGAAACGCGGGAGGTTGATGGGGGTGGCCTCGACCTCGGCCTAAATCTGTAGCAGAGCTTCGGCCACGCCAACGGAGATGGTGTCCTGGGTGAGGACGATGGGGGAGAAGCTGAAGCAGCGGCTGCGGCTGGACGTGGGACGCGAGATCTGCCGCCAGTACCCGCTGTTCTGCTTCCTGCTGCTCTGCCTCAGCGTCGCCTCCCTGCTCCTCAACAGGTAACGCCGCAGCGCGGAGCTGGCGGGCGGCTGCTCTGCGAGGCTGCGGACGGGGGCCCGTGTTACTTCACTGTGTGGAGACCGCTCGGGGCTGCGCCGCTGTGGCGTTTGCGGCCGGCTGCGAGGCCTTGGGAACAGCGGCCTCGGGGAGCTGGGCGGAGCGTCCGGGCCCGGAAGTGCGAGCGGGGGTGGGGTGCGTTCCAGTGCCCCCTTTCCTGAGGCCGGGTCTCCTGAGACACCTGGCCCCGATTCTTACCTACTTTTCACCTGTTCCTTGAACCTGGGGCTCCCTCATCGCTGTTTTTCAGAGGAGTGAAATCTGTCTGTGCGTCCCAATTTGAGACCTTGCAGGGTCGGTCCAGTCAGCTGACGAAGGAGGGTTCCAGGTCTTGTAGCAGCCCCGGTTTTAGGCTGACTCCCCTCGTTCTCACCACACGCATGCGCACACACTGCACGCACAGTCTTCCAGCCGAAGGGCACGCACAGGCCCACACAGTCTTACAGCCAAAGGACGCACACGCACGCTCACGGTCTTACAGCCGAAGTGCACACATCCACACACACGGTCTCTCAGCCGAAGGGCGCGCGCGCGCGCGCACGCACACGCACGCACAGTCTGACAGCCAAAGGACGCACACGCACGCTCAGTCTTACAGCTGAAGTGCACACACCCACACGGTCTCTCAGCCGAAGGGCGCGCGCGCACACAGCACGCACAGTCTTACAGCCGAAGGGTGCTCACACACAGTTTTACAGCCCCATGGCGCGCGCGCACACACAGTTTTACAGCTGAAGCACGCACACAGGCACACCCACACTCTTACAGCTGAAGGGCGCACACGCACAGTCTTACAGCTGAAGGGCACACACGTACACACAATCTTTAACAGCCGCAGGGTGCATACGCGCTCTTACAGCCGAAGGGTGCGTGCGCACACACATACAGTCTTACAACTGAAGCACATACATGCTCACAGTCTTAGAGCTGAAGCGCGCAAGCACAATCATGCAGTCGAAGCATGCACACGTGTGTGCACACATGCACACGATCTCGCAGCCCAAGCACACACACTTTTACAACTGAAGCACACACACGCACACAGTCTTAAGCTGAAGGACTCACACACAGTCTTTTATTTTTTATTACTAAAGATTTTATTTATTAGCGCGCAGGAGCAGGGGCATGGGCGGAGGGAGAGGGAGAGCAAACTCCCCACTGAGCAGGGAGCCCCACACGGGGCTCCATCCCAGGACCCTGGGATCATGACCTGAGCTGAAGGCAGACCTCAACCGACTGAGCCACCCAGGTGTCCTCACACACAATCTTGTTGCCGGAGCTTTTCCCAAAGGGTGGTTGGTTAAAATGGATGATCGTAAAGATTTGTTGAAGTCAGAAAGCTAAATAGTACCTAGGTCTCAATATCTCTAGAATATTCCAAAAGGGAAGATTGAAAGTTAAAATTGATAAATTCGGTTTACATTTTGAAATGGGAAGGTTCTGTCCCTGAAATAAATTTATTTCCTTCAATTAGCTATTTCCAGAAATGGTAACGATGAAATAGGTAGCAGAGGAGAACTTTTCCTTCAGATTATTTCCAAATTGCTCTTGGTGGAAAGAAGTCTGAGACACTTGTCAGCAACGGCATCTGCATGATATTTTTTTCTGATGTTTTGAACATGAAGCCATCTCTACTCTTAATTTTGGGGTAGTTGATCCCTGAGGCAGAGGAATGGGAAAACATTCGCCAGGAATTTGGTGATTTAATTTTGCTCTAAGGTAACCATTTCCTGTGACTGTTGGAGTTGAATTTTTTCCCTACCCATTTTGCTTTCTTGTTAGTTGACTCTGGGCTAATAGGTTTAAGTAGCAACTGATATTTTACTGGAAAATGTGCTTTGATTGTGATAGTAAGATGTTTGATTTTGGGAATATGGAGGAAGGGGAATCCTTAACAGAGTGGAAATGAGTTATTAAATACTTACTTGCTTTCTGTCATCTGGAAGGTATTCTAAGCTAGATGAATAGCTTTAGAATGAAAGATAGGTAAAAGTTCTGTGATTAGTAAGTTTTGTCCAGGAATTCTTAACCTATCTCTTTTGGTAGATGGGTCAGTTTAAGTGTCCAAGGTAGGACATGCAAGATCAGGTTGAACTAGATTTCTGAGGTCACCTACTTAATTATAGCATATAGTGTTCTTTGTTGTTAAGAAGTCATACGATACCATCTGATCTCTGCCCTGTATCTTTATTTGTATTATGCAAAGAAAGAAGGATGTAATACATAAACGTTATCTCTGAGTGGTTGGATTTATGAGTGAAATTGTTTTTGCATACATTTTTTTGTATTTTCTTTTGTTACTGTTGAAAGCAGCAAAAGTGACCTTAAACATGATAGAACTGTCTTGACTAAAAGAATGGTTAGGGGCACCTGGGTGGCTTAGTCGTTAGGCATCTGCCTTCAGCTCAGGTCATGATCCCAGGGTCCTGGGATTGAGCCCCACATCCGGCTCCCTGCTTAGCGGGAAGCCTGCTTCTTCCTCCCCCACTCTCCCTGCTTGTGTTCCTGCTCTTGCTATTGCTCTTGCTATCGCTATCGACAAAGTATATAGTGTGCTTTTCAGTGTATTGTGTGATTTTCTTTAGAACATGTGTGTACATTCATATGTACATTCATATGTATGCTTTGTCTATCTCTGGAAGATTGTTATATAAGAAAATGTGGTCCCTTCTGGGAGTGGGGAATATGAGGCACATTTATTCAGAAATTAAAAAAAAACATATATATAATAAAAGTATTAGGGGTATAATGATGAAATTTGAAATGAGAAGATAGGCTTAATGCATACCATCAATAAGTGATTTCTTGGGGCACCTGGCTGACTCAGTCAGAAGAACATGCGACTCTTGATCTTGAGGTTGTGAGTTTGAGTCCCATGTTGGAGGTAGAGATTACTTAAAAAAAAATCTTAAATGATTTCGGGGCACCTAGGTGGCTCAGTCGTTAAGTGTCTGCCTTTGGCTCAGGTCGTGATCCCGGGGACCTGGAATTGAGCCCTGTGTCAGGCTCCCTGCTTGGCGGGAAGCCTGCTTTCCCATCTCCCACTCTCCCTGCTTGTGTTCCCTCTCTCGCTGTCTCTCTCTGTCAAATAAATAAATAAAATCTTAAAAAAAAACCTAAATGATTTCTACACAGGCATTTCAACAGTTAGTTTTTAGAAATAATTTTAAAAGAAATTTTCAATTTAAAATCTTTACTGGTTAGTATGGAGATTTGGAGCTTTCCTTCTATATGGTTAAACTTAGAATAATAGTCTTTTTCAAAATTATTTAAAAAATTTTCTTTTAAATTTTATTTAAAGTAGGTTCTACATCCATTGTGGGGCTTGAACTCATGACCCTGAGGTCAAGAGTCACATGCTCTATCAACTGAGCCAGCCAGGCACCCCTGAGATTAATTTTTTCTCTTATAGTCTTCAAATTTTAAATCCTAAAGCTCTTTCAAGGTGTTATTTAGTATATAAATTTTTCTTTCAAAATGAATTAAGATCATGAATCTTTTTTTTTTTAAGATTTTATTTATTTGAGAGAGACAGAGATAGCAACAGAGATAGCGAGAGAGAGCAAGAGCGAGCAAGAGTGGGGAGAAGAGGGAGAAGTAGGCTTCCCACTGAGTAGGGAGCCTGATGCGGGGCTCAATCCCGGGACCCTGGGATCGTGTCCTGAGCCGAAGGCAGACTCTTAACTGACTGAGCCACCCAGGTGCCCCAAGATTGTGAATCTTATCTGTGGAAAGATAAATAACTATAAGTTTTGGCTATTATAAATGATTTGTGGGATGAATAGAGTAACATACTTTATATATTTCAAATAATTTGTGAAATCACTGTTACAGTATTGTTAGGGAAAGCAAGGAGCATAGATACAATTACATTTACTAATGGTAGTGTTGAATATTTCAGTGTTATAATAAGGAATATTTTAAGTTACATGCTAGTAATAATAATGGTAATAGTAATAATAGCTAACTAACACTTTGTGAGTGTTTTGTTTGGCCCAGGTGTAGTATTAAGAGTTTTCTTTGATTATTGAGGCAATTTATTGTTGTGGTTGAAAGTTTTGAATCTGAACTTCAATGTAAGAATTTTATTCTGCCTCCCACATTAATCAGTTATGTGGCTTTGGATAAGGGATCTAACTTTTATCTGTCATAGTGCTGTTATCTGTAAAGTGGGGGATAATACTAGTACCCACATTATATGATTATTTTGATGATTAAAGGGTTAATACATCGGAAGTGTTTTGAATGGTGCTTAGGACATAGAACATACTCTTATTAAATGTTAACAGTTATTTTTGTCTCATTTATTCTAGCACCCCAGTAGACTCCCTTGTTAGTAACCTCAGTTACCATTGATCAGTTTTGCTTGTTTTTGTATTTCATATAAATGGAATTATATGGTCCTCTTGTATCTAGTTTCTTTTTCTTTTTTTTTTTTCTCTCAACTCTTTTGAGATTTGTCCATATTGTTGTGTATGTCAGGACTTCAGTGTCTTTGTTATTGTGCAGTATTCCACTAGGAATATGACATAACTTTGTTTAGCCATTCTTCTGTTGAAGGGCATTTGACTTGTTTACAGTTTTTAGCTATTATGAATAATGCTGCTATGAATATTCTTATATATATTTCTTTTGATAGATTTATTTCTTTTGGGTAGATGCCCATGGATGGAAATGCTTAGTCATAGTGTATATGTTTGTTTAACTTAAGTAGATACTGCCAGATAGTTTCCCAAGTAGTTGTACTAATTTACACTCCTGCCAAAACATTTGACTGTTCCGTCTGATACTGTCTGTAGGCTTAATTTAGTCATTTTAGTGAATAGAGGTAGCTCATTGTAGTTTTAACTAGTTAATTGTAGCTTAATTGTTAGCTGTAGTCATCATGTTGTACATTATATCCCTAGTACTTATTTATCATTTTGGAAGTTTGTGCCTTGAC